GGGTTTAGGGTGTAGGGTTAGGTGGGGAGTTTAGGGTATATGGGGCTTCTACAAGGCTTCCATAAGGTATACGTAGACCTTCTATAAGGCTCCTATATAACGGTAACTACCCTAGACCCGTCACCCTAAACCCCCTAAACCCTAAACCCTGCACCCTAAACCCCCTAAACCCCCTAAACCCTAAACCCTAAACCCTGAACCCTAAGAATCTTGCGCCGAAAACCTACGACCATCGGCTCCTGGACCATGATCATAAGCTGGAAAGCTACTGTTTAGGGTACAGGGCTAAGATGTCCATGTGCTCAAATAGTATATACTTTGCCCTTACAGTACCTATACAGGGACTACTTTAAGGACAACGTATATATTTGGGTACATGGACCCTTAGGGTAAGATTAAAGACCGTCCCTTTAGAGACTGGATCCCTCTTATGATCCAAATTTTCCTTAATTCGTCAGGGTTGAGTAGTCCTCAACGGAGTTGGAGTTGTGTTTTGTTGGCCAGGGGCTAGGGAAGCTTCCAAGACACGCTTGGGAAAGGGCTTCGAGCAGCCCAGAACACAAAACCCTAAACCTTACTAACTCAGCAACTTATTAGAACATAAACCCTACTAACATCCTGCCTGAATAGACCCCTAAAGCCTGTGACGAAGCCTGATTGCACAGGCGCCTCTCAAATTACCAATAGTGCACCAATAGTGCTCCTTGGGATTATTGAAATAACTCAAACTGCTAACCCTTAACCCTTAGCATCAAAATAGCCCCAAAGCCTTACATAATCGGGTCTTTGGGCCCAAAAGCCTTAACAAAATCAGTCCTTTGAGGGTAAGGGTAAAGGCTTCCAGCAGCCGCGGCACGTCCCATCGAAGAAGTGAACGAAAGGCACCGAGCTGCGCAGGGAAGCGAGATGTGCGACGAGCCCAAGATCCATGACCTTCAAGGGTTTAGGGTTTAGGGTGGTTTCTTGGCTGACATCTGAACCCCTGCTAAAAGTTCAACTTTTGGCCCACTTATTAGAGTTCATACAGAAACCCAAAAAGTTAAAGGAAACTACAGGTGGGGAGTTTAGGGTGTATAAGGCTTCTACAAGGCTTCCATAAGGTATATAGACCTCCTATCAGGCTCCTATAACGGTAACTACCCACCTGAAAACGTGCTAGAACAAAAGAGCGGTTTATGGAAAGCGTTGTGATGTAGGAGCCTTAATAAGTAGAACAGGGTTTAGGGGACAACTATACTCTACTTATATGCTCAGGAAGCCCCACCAAAATACCATCGTTATTTTAATCTAGGCGTCTGCAGTAAGTTCTTCTGATGCGGGTTTATGAGGATGGTGTCGGGATTTATGGGACTCGAAAGGTTGTGTACGAGGGTTGTATGAGGCACATGCAGGGTTGGGACTCGAAGGGTTGTATATAAGGCTTCTATGAGGCGCATGCAGGGTTTTAGAGGGTTCTTGATGGAGTTTAGACTGAAACGCGTGGCTTTTCAAGAGGGCATGATTGGGAGTGCAGGGTTTAGGGCGATGCTACACTCGTCGTCTTCAAATTATGGTTGGCTGCGTTTAGAATCTTCCTACAGAAACGTTCCATCTCAACAGCCTCTTCTGAATTCTAGCAATGAGCCCTCTTGGAACAAGGCTTTTCTCCCTTACGAGGCCCCTAGACCCTAAACCCGTAAACCGCATCGTAAAAGGGGCTTCGTTGGATGAGAAAGGACCCTAAACCCTTTAAACCCAAAGCCTTAAAGCCCAGAACCCTAAACCCGAAACCCCTATAAACCCTAAACCCTAAACCCTTATGAACCCTTAACCCTAAACCGTTGTCATAACGTTCGCTATCGCTCATTTGCCGACGGTATCCTTGAGGGCACAGGAGCCTCGGGTTCAGGATTTAGGGTTTACAGGGTTTCGGGGTGTATGGGGCTTTAGGGTGTTTCTTTTTTAAATGTTTAGGTTTTAGGGTTTAGGGTTTAGGGGTTTAGGATATAGGGCTTAAGGCCCCGACTCCACTTCAGACGACTGGTTCCAAGACCTTAACACTGCAAGAAACAGAATGCAACGACCTCCCCACCTCCCATCCAAACAACAGACACAACACGCAAGACAAACTTACATGGTGGCCTCAATAATTGGAATAGGGCTTGGGGCCCATTATCCTATAGGTGTAACAACGAGCCCCCAAAAATAGCGTAGGTGATTATTGAGGCCCCTACATTACTGTCGCACCCTAAACCCTAAACCACTAATACAGGTAATTATTGAGGTCCCTACATTACTTTCGTACCCTAAACCCTAAACCCTGAACCCTAGCACCTTACGTACATGAACCCTAAACCCTAAACCCTACACCCTAAACCCTAAAGCCCTAAACCCTGACCCTAAACCCTGAACCCTAGCACCGTACCTACATGAACTTTGCTCGAGTCACTTCCTGCGGATTGTGTGCGCTCAGCAGAGCGCAGCCGGTGGAGCGAACCTTCTGCGGTTTAGGGTTTAGGGTTTAGGGTTTCGGCTTTAGGGGTTTAGGGTTTGAGAACTACTGTTGATGATATAACTCCTGCATCACCTTAAGGACCCCGCCGAAACTACGGGAATTATGGTATATTCGTTATGATGGGTAATGCAGGATGTATATCATCAACCGTGTGGCGTGGGGGTCCTCAGGAACCTAAGCTGCACAAATGCTTTCCTGGACATACCTGGGCCCCAAAACTACCTACCTCTTCAATGAAGTAAGGAAACCATAAGCGGGAGCCCGAAACCTTGATAGAGAGCCTAACCCCTTAAACCCTAAACCTTAAACCCTAAACCCTACACCCTAATCCCTAAACCCTAAATAGGGAGCCCTACGAAGGAAGGCCTTCTAGGGTGCAGTTAACGCATCATGCCTCGAAGCCTCCTTGAGCGTCAACCAGCCCAGCCGGTCAAGGCCAGTTGGCTTGGGAGTTCCGAAAAAACACCAAGGCTCCATGTACCTATATCGTATTATTATAAGTGTGCGTGTACCATACATATATATATATATATTATATATATATATATATATATATTGTATTTATCTGTTTCTATTTTATATTTCATTATTTATGTACACTTTATAGGAACCCCTTTCAAGGCCTAAGTATATACAAGTATGAGTACATGGAGCCTTCGGATTCCGACCATGGGCACCCCAAGCCCTGCAAGAAACAGATGGTCGAAACAGAGGTAGTGTCGTGGGTTGTGGTTCAAGGGCCACCGAACGCATTGAACATATTGAACAGGTAGCGGTAAGACCACAAGGAAAACTGAGACGTATGCCATGTGGCCACCTAGTTTTGGTCTCTCAGGTTAGTTCCCGTGCGAACCCTGCTCCCTCGACCAAACGCCATCGTGAGGCAGCCATCACGTCAGAGTGATCGCAGAAGATAGACCTCTGTGGCAGGGACCATAGTTTAGCATGGCTTTACAAGATGTTGCACCCTAAACCCTAAACCCTAAACGCCCTAAACCCCATTCCAAGTTTTAACGACAAAGGTTTCCTGGGGGGTTGCCGGGCTTTCGTACTGAAGGACCCGTTTTTTTTTGTTCAGCGTCTACCTTCAAATTCTAAAACAGCATGTTGAACAACGATCGCATAGCGCCCGTAAGGTTCAGTGCCTGAGGTTACATCTGTAGCATGGATTAGCCTGCTGGGATTTGCAACCCCAAGCCCTAAACCCAAACACGGTGTTTTAAAACCAGGGCTCCCAAGGATCTCACTCGCCCCCCTACAAGGGAACTTCCAGACAACTTCAGGCCTAGATCGTATCTTCCGGCGGTCTTTTGGTGCCCTAGCTCAGAACATGTACGTATTTTGTAACCCTAAACCCTAAACCCTAAACCCTAAACCTTAAACCCTAAACCCTAAACCCTAAACCCTAGTATATACTTCGGCCTCTTTCGGGTTCCTATAATGTAGAACCCATTAGGAATCGAGTTTTGGGGCCCATGATACTGTAATTATAATAAGGAACCCCCAAAATTATTATAGTAACTACTTATGCCCCCCATTATGCCGACGCCCCTGAAGCCCTCCTGGGAGTCAGCGGCCGCGGCGACACCTGCATAAGCCATGGCAAGCTTGCGGGGGCATGACCCCATATGGGAGTTTCCGAAAAAGAGGGGTACCTTATTTTGGGGGTCCTTATAGTAAGAATCCTACTATTCAGGGTACTATGTTAGGGTCCCATATTTTCGGAAAACCCCCATATGTCATACACACATATGTATTAATGTGTATATAGAAATATGTATTGTCTATATCTATATCTCTATCTATATCTATATCTAT